ATTCTATTTTATAGCTGAGTAGCTTTCCACTGCATGAAAATACCATATCTTTCTTATCCATTCTGTGGTCAATGAACAAGTTACTCTTGGTTTGGTTTTGTTTTTTCTGTCTCCTGTCACATGGAACAATTGTTTTCTCTCCTTTGATTTTCAGTCTATGAATTCCCTTTCCAGTTAAATGTGTTTCTTGTATGCAGTATTTCAATGGATCTTGTTTCTTGATCCACTCTCCCTGTGTTTCTTTTTATTGCTGACCTAAGGCCAGCATACATTGATTTGTCTCTGCCATGCTAGCCTAGCCTCCTATTGTTGGCCTTCCACTTTTACCCTTCATTCAAATGCTTGCCCTATTTTGGCAGTCTGCCTCTGCTGCTATTTCTGAAACCATGGTCATCTTTGACTCTTTCTAGAATATCCTTTAGTACTGTCTGTAGGATTGGTTTGGTAGTCATCAGTTCCTTCAGTTGTTCTTTATCATGGAAGTATCTTATTTTTCCATCAGTTTTGAAAAATAATTTTACAAGTGGGTTGGAAGTTGTTTTCTTTCAGTGTTTGAAACGCTTCAAACTCTTTTTGACTTGATGGTTTGTGTTGATAAGTCTGCTGTGATTCTGATTGGTTTTCCTTTATAAGTGATCTGTTTCTTTTCTCTAACAGCTTTTAATATTCTGTTCTTATGCTGAATTTCTGAGATCTTGATTATTATATGTCTGGATGTAGATTTATTTTGGTTATGGCTAGTTGGAGTCCTGTGTGCCTCACTTACCTGCATGCCATATCTATTTCCCAAGTTTAAAAAGTTTTCTTCTATTACTTCTGTAAATAGCCTTTTAATTTCATTTGTGTTGATCCCTGCTTCTTTACCAACACCTGTCACTCTTAAATTATGCTTCTTTGCATCGCCTTGTAGCCATTAAGTTGTTATTTCCTGATTCCATGTTTTTAAGAGATCGTTCCTTTTACAATCACTGGCTACAATGCTATCTTCAAGGTTTGAAAGTCTATCTTTAGTCTCTTTCAAGTGGTTTTGCCAGCTTCCAATTGAATTTTTAATTTCCTGGATCTCTCTTTGAATCTATTTCATGCATTGTAATTCCTTCTAATTCAAGGTTTCCGTCATTTTCCTATGTTCCTTTTTTTTGACTATACCTTCTTTAGACATGCTGCGCAATTCTTTCAGGATGTTTGTGATTTTTTCTTTTACCTGAGACATTATTTCTGCTTTGACTGCTTTTACAATCTCATGAAGTTGTTTCCTTACTTCAATTGTTATCCTCTCAGAGATTTCAGGTGTATGACTTCCATATTCTTCCATGACTGTATCGCCCAGACTTGTTGTGTGGAATAGAGGTCTGAGATTGCCTTTTTGTTCCTTCATCTTGACATTCTCCAGGGTTCCTCCGAACAAGCTGGTTGAGGGGCCCCAAACCCTTCCCACATTGGCTGCCCCTCCATGATGTAGGGAGATGGAACAGGCACCTGGGTTCCTCTCAACCTAGATTTACAGGGAGGTAGCAGGGCATGAAATAGGCTTCTCTAAACCTGTGCAGCTACACTGAGGCTTCCTTAATGTTCAGGGGTGCATGCTTCTCTCAGCCTATGTGTCTATACTGGGACTTCTGTGATGGTGGCAGACACATGGGTGTATTTGTCTGATTCTGCTACTAGGTGATGGTTTCCCAAAGGAACCAAGGGCCTTCAATGCTGGCCTACAGGTGCACAGGCTTATCTGCCTGTGTGTACCTGCTCCTGCTGGCCACCCGCAGGAAGGAGACTTCTGGTGGCAGCTCCCTGCAGGTGGAGGTGGATCTGCTGGTTCTCTTTGCCTATGCAGGCCACCCTGGGAAAGGGCCTTCTGGTGGTGGCACCTGGCAGGCAGAGGCAGATCTGTCTAGCTCTCTCTGCCCACACTGGGAGCCTGTAGGAAAGGACCTTCTGGTGGCGGTGCCCAGCAGGCAGAGGCAGGTTTGCTGGCTCTAACATAAGTGATTTCACGTGTAGACTTATATTCCATTTCCAATATGTCTGTTTCTGTTATGTGAACATTTAAAATCTGAAATCTAAAATGCTGGTCCCATGCATTTTTAGGTAAGGGGTAGTCAATCTGTGTTATGAATTTTGTTCCTTACAAAGCATCTTCTCAAGTCATGCTATCCTGTTCATTCTCCTGTGAGTCTCAAAGGGTAGTGAGCAGTTATTTTCATAGGCAGGAAATCTTGCCTATAGAATTCCAATAGGCTGGCAATAATGGTGATATGTATCACATATTTCTTGAAACACACAAAACAAATTAGAGTCTCAGTTTTAGAGTCCATGTATAATCAATTAATATGAAAGAGCTATGGAAGAATGTCATGTTAATAGCTTAAGGTCTGTATTGAATTGCTAATATATTTGAACAGGGATTCAACAAGTATATTATAAATATTTACAGTTTAAGTATGAATGTATACTTATCAAACCTGCTGATTTAGAGGACATTCATATCTTTGCCCAATGAGTGAATCAACCTTCATCAGAGGAAATGGAAATGCTTTTTGGTAGAAAGAGTAAATGTTAGAATTTTTTGTTCAGTTACTTTTGCCTTTTGAGAACATACTTACTGATTCTTTTACTTGTATCATAAAGAATTTCATGTTATTTTGTTAAGCATGTAACTCTGAATATATGTCTCCCTTCCCATTCTCATTTTTATTTCCTAGTAAAAAATGCTGATCATATTGCAAAAGTTGGATGTAAATGATGAAAGTAATACTTGTTTATCAAAGATGTTATGATAAATTCATAACTGTTTTGATTATTTGTTTTATTTGACCTGGTGTCTTCACCCAGTGCCTGACAAAGGTTTGAGGTTTTGTTTTAAAGTCAGGAACCCATTATCAAGAGGCTTTACCCATTATCAAAAGCTAGGAATTGGATGACAGTTGTAAACAAAGAGCACATAACCATAAAAATATCAGAATGGTTTTGCATTAGTCCCCATAAAAAGAAAAAAATTCATTGTTTGTTTATTTTTATGATGGAATAAGAAATGAGTAATCTTTGGTTAGTTTTTAAACCACTCCAAACTTATTTACATTTCTTCTATATGTTGTTAAGATCATGGTACAGTAAAAAGTAGTGTTATCGTAAGCAATAACACTTTAGTCACATGGGTAGTAGTAGTAGAACCAGAATGCTCACCCAGGAAGTTCCTGCTGAGCTTGTATTCTGCCTGTGCTCTGCAGGTACTCAGTGTCACATATGTGATTTTCTGTGTTTTCTGTTTTTACTTGTTGTCTGTAGCATTATGTAATACATGTTTTATAACTAATAAATCTTCTTCCCTTAGCTATCATTTCCCGTTTCTGTTTCTTATTCATTTTCATGGCTAAATCTTACCCATATAAGGAATCTAATTGCATATTAATTCATCTGGATTAAAATTTCATTCTTTTAGCTATCTGTTAAAGGGTTGGATTATGATTATCCCCCTAAGCTGTTTGGTGTAAAACAACACACAGGGCGGGGCGTGGTGGTACACACCTCTAATCCTAGCACTTGGGAAATTGAGGCAGGAGACGCACCATGAGTTTGAGATGAGTCTGGGCTACATAAGCAGGTTCAAGGCTAGACTGCAGTACAAAGCAAGACCCTGTCTCCCGTCCCCCAAAACATAGCACACAAATTGCAGCTTTACGATATTTAAGTACTGCAAAACAAATCTGAGGACTCAAGGAAAACTTTTCGTATATATACGTATGACTTTTGGCCCATTGATATTTCAGGGTGTAAGTATGATTACTAGACATTTGTGTCAGAGACTTATGTGGAATTCTAAACCATGTAACCCTCTCACCACCACCCATAGAAATACATTCTAAGACTCCTCATGCAGATAGTACTGACAACTCTATAAACTATGGGTTTTTTTTCTCCATATAAACCTTCAGTACAGTTTGATTGATAAATTAGCACAGCAAAAATCAATAATATTAATAAAATATTTATAACAATAGAGCATAATCAAAAAATTTTTTAAAACTTATGAATTTTTTATTTCTGGAATTTTTCATTTGCTGCTTCAGATCACAGTTGACAGATAATTGAAACCATGCAAAGCTAAACCTCTGATAAGGAATCTAGTGCATGTTACATGTTGGGTGTTATTAAAGAATGATAAGACTAGGTTTTTACAAGACTATTACAATAAGTGGAGGGGCTACTGATTGCATTGGGGCTTGCAGTAGTGGGGAGAGAGTTGACTCAATTTGGAATATGACAAAGAAAAGTGGGATTTTATACCTAAGGAACAGTTTAGAGTATGAGAAAGGAAGGAAGAAAATTACTAAGACGAAGTGTCAAAGGTGAGAAGGATTATAGCAAAACCTGCCTAACTGGATCCTTAAAGTCAAAACAAGATGATCAGACATGATCTGAAGATGGTGGGAAATGAGTCCTTAGCCAGATAAGGGGTTACTTGATGACATAACTGGGGTGAGAGATTTTGGCTAAATGGAAGCAGCAGGACTCAGTAAAATCAGGCTCCCAAGAATGTGTGCAAGGCGCAGGGGAAACTGATTAGAGTTTGATCAAGGAAGTAAAGTTTTTCAAGATTACAAACCCTATAGAAATGACAAGTTTCTTCTGTGCATAGTGTCTTGATCAGTAGCTTAGTATCCTTCCTGACAACCCTGGGTCTCTCAGGGCAAATTTTACTCAACTAGGTGATTCTTATTTTTCTAAACTTGAAGACATGTACTCAATAGAAGATTCCAGTATGGATTAAAAACCTAACCATTATATAAATTGGGGGAAGAAAATACAAAATTGAAATACAAGCTCATTTTATGATCTGAATACAATTCATGATTTTCAGGATTTCTTGAGTAAATTAGTAAGTCAATAAGGCCTTACAGATTTTGAGAAGTTTTTTCTGAATAAAATGAATTTATAATATCTGTGTGTTTTTCTTGTTGCTCATGAAACATGAGAACACTCTTTTTTCTTTTCTTTTCCAGACGGTGGAGATGATGCTCAGGAGAATAGCTTAAGAGGTTTAATAGAAGAACTTCCAGACTCCCACTACCGCCTGCTTAAGTACCTTTGCCAGTTCTTGACAGAAGTAGCCAAGCATCATACGCAGAATCGCATGAATGTTTACAATCTCGCCACTGTATTTGGACCAAATTTCTTTCAGTAAGTTAATGGAATTTTGGTTTTACTATTATCTGAAATTACTGGGACATAGAAACATATCTCAGTTTAAAAGATCAATCGTTTTATTTTGGAGAAGTTTCATCTTGGTTTTGGGTGTTTTATCCTTGTTTTTTATCCCCATTTTGAAGAAGACACATAAGACTTCCTACAAAATCATACTTTTCAATAATCCAAATAACAGTAAATTCTGGAACTAAGTTTAATTTTTACTAAAAGAAGGCATTTAAGAAAGAATTTGCAGGCCATTTTGTGGAGAGAGGGAGCTTGAGTGTTTGCAGCTGTGGTGCTGACCCAAGCAGCAGTTGACTCTTGCACGTAGAACCTGGGAGTAGAAGATTCGGAATCGACTCTCTTCCCTCGCCCTTGCCTGGTTACAAATCACTCGAAATACATAATTAGTGGGACTGTGCTTCAGTGAGGTTTATTGATCTTGTTTTTGTCACTGTTAGCAACCTTAGCTGCAAACACGATGGCTAGCACTGTTACTGACAGACAGATCCTCGCTCCATGAACTGCTGTGTGTTCTTTAGGAATCTCAACACTCTTGTGTTAAAGAAGTCTGATGTGGAGGCGATCTTCTCGAGTGTGGCAAAATTGTGGGTTGCTCTGTTCATAAGGGCTTTGCCTTCATCCAGTATGTTAATGAGAGAAATGCCCGGGCTGCTGTAGCTGGAGAGGTTGGCAGAATGATTGCTGGCCAGGTTTTAGATGTTAATCTGGCTGCAGAGCTGAACGTGAGCAGAGGAAAAGCAGGTGTGAAACAATCTGCAACAGAGATGGATGCTTCTCTTTTGACTTGGACAATGACTTTCTATGTGATATTATGAGGGGATGTATGGTGACCCAGCATGTGTTCCTGTGCCGCCTCCTATTGCTCAGGCTGTGGTGCCCTGGAAACACCAGCATGTATCAGGAAACACTCACAGAGGGGCAAAATTGGCTTCAATTCTAAGAGTGGCCGGCAGGATTGTCTTCAAGTCTGGAAAGTTAAAAGGAGATGGTCGTCAAGTCATTAAGAAGGAGCTGACCCAGGTGAAACAAAAAGTGGATTTTCTACTGGAAAGCCTGGAAAAAATTGAAAAGGAACAGATCAAACAAGCAGTCAAGAGAATGGTAAGTTGAAGAGGAGCAGACCAGCACCTCCCTGAAGAAGATGAGACGGTGTGAAGATGGAGTCTGAGGTGCTGATGATGACTGCTGAGGAAGGGGCTCCACTGGCTGATGGTGGTAAGATGATTGGGAGATGACCAGCTGGAAAAAGAGGCTGAGGAAGGGGAGGATGACTCTTAAGGACATAGAAGTCTTGCCGATTATTTCTTTACTTAGGTGCTTGTCTAAGATCAGGATTTCACCAGATCCTCTCCCCTAGTATCTTCAGCACCCGCGCACCGTTCTTCCTATCTTTGTCCTTTCCATGTCCATAATTGCCCCGCACCTAGGTTGTGTGGTTTTTTTTAAAAGAACATGTAGTCTAGAATCATTAGTGGAAAGAGGAGTATGATAAAATAATAGTGATAAAGTTCACTTTATTGCTAATAGGTGGAAAATTATGAGCAAAATACATCAGTGACCAAAAGATACAATTTTAATTTTGCTTATTTTCTAAATTTAATTTTTTTAGAAATTAAATTAGGCTAGGAATAAACTAGTCTTTGTAAGTGGTATATTACTAGCTGCAAGAACTTTGGTAAATTTTTATTTTTTCTGTTACTCCTTTAAAGCTTTTTAATGTTGATATATGAAACATCTTTATAATCCAGAGGGTTTGCTTTTAAATCTCCTCTTAGTTCTGCCCGATATCAACTTATTTCTTCTTAATTATATAAAGAGAGAATGATTTCACTTTCAAAACTCATGGAAAGTTTTATGTTCTTTTTAAAATAGTGTATCTGCTTTTCTACTCTATTAATCTTTGGCTACATTTAGATACCCAGAGCTAGTAATAGTACAGTCCTCATAATGTCTAAATAAGTATAACCCTGACTTACACCATAGATTGTGGCCATTCACTGCTTAATTTGGAGAGAAGGTCTGTCTTGATGATGATCCTACTTGAAACTTTAAGCATGTTAAATTTTAAATAATAATATTTTATAGGATATGATAGGGTCCTGTGAATAAATACCTTAAAAAAGGACTTGATAACTTCTTACTCAAGAGCTTCATGATAGTAAAAGTTTTTTTTATTTGCTATTTTTACCTCCATCTGCCCAGTAAACCTTTGTTTCATGACTTACATGTGAAAAATAAAGGTATAAGTAGAAAACTACTCAATAATTTTGAAACCCTAGGCACTAATGTGAGACTTTTAGAAACGATTGCCAAACTGCAACCTCAAAACCCACTTATTTACTGCAAAGCATCTTAAAAGAGAAACAACACTCATACCAACGGTTCGGCACCATGCCCTAGATTCTAGAAAAGGTAAAGTCAATTTATAAATAGAATGCTTATTGAATAAGTACATAATGCAAACAAAAGCAAAGTTGATCCATACATCACTACTTACAGTGATAAAAATGGAACTTACAAATTAAGCTTGAGCTAGAATTCTGATAACCCATTCTAGTCATTCAAAATACCAGTAAATGATGAGACTTTTTGGTAGGTTCTACTAACTAGTTTGATTTTTATATTTTTATTGTGGTAAAATGAACAAGCAGAATGTAAAATTGATCATTTCAACTATTTTTTAAGTGTAAAGAGTGGTAGTATTCTAAGTATATTCACATTGTTGTGGTCTGCTAAATAATATGTATTTCTAAACTTACAGATACAGAAGTCAGTGAAAGAGTATAGTTAGAACAGATAAAATTTATTCAGAGCATACCAAGTACTGTATTTTCTCATTCAATTAAATTCTAAAGGGAAGAAAGTGATTTAGTTTGTCCTTGAAGTTCATCTGGCTAGGTTACGGGAAAGGAAACACTTCTATCCCAGTGACCACAGTTAACCTGTAAATGTAATAAAGATGTTATAAAGAAGACTAGTGGAACACTTCCATTCCAAGACATTTCCCTCACTATCAAAGGCAGAACAAAGGGAACGATATCTGATGTTTATAGGAGAAGAAAATAGAAGAGCTTTTGTGTTTTAGTTTTAGAGATGGAATCTCACTAGGTTGCCTAGGTTGATCTTGAACTCGCACAGATGCATACTGCCACCAAGCAGAATAGGGTTTTGTATAGTGTTTACTAGATAGCAGGCATGGAACAGTTACACATTTGTTCACTTACTTCATTTTTCAGTAAGAAGATTAGACCCAGAGCTTTGGGCATGCTAGGCAAGCACTGTCCGGACCACTGAGCTACCTCCCTAGCCCCTATTTTTATTTTTAACTTTTATCTTTACATTTTATCTTTAGTTCACACACAGTAATTTTTTTACATATTTATGGGATAGTATGTGAGAATTCAGTAAACCCATATAATTTATAATGAACAAAATAATTTGCATATCTGTCCCCTTGGACATTTATCATTTCTTTGTATTGGAAACATTCAAAATCTCTACTAGCTATTTTGAAATATCCAGATAATTGTTTTTATACCTAGTTATCCTACTGTACTATAGTACAGAATGTTAGGAATTACTGTTTATTCAACTATACCCCTGTACCTGCTAATATCATCATTTCTACCTCCCTCTGTCCCCATATCCTTCTTAGAAAGCTCTGATTATCACTGTCCTATTACCTGCCTTGAGACTAACTTTCTAATTTCCACATATAAGTGATAATACGTGATACATTGTCTTTCTGGGCCTATTTCACCTAACATAATTAATATCTTCCATTTTTATCCATATTGTAGCAAATGGCAGAAAGTCTCAAGTTCATCCTTCTTTATGACTGACTAGTACTCCATTATATATAGATTTTGAAAAACACACATGGTTTTTACTCATTCTTCAGTTGATGAGTATTTGGGTTGTTTCCAAGATTTAGCTGTTTTACAAATTGTGCTACTACAAACATGAGTACACATATATTGCTGTGGTATGTTGGTTTTAATTCTTCTGCAAAGATACCCAGAAGGGGAGTAACTGGGTCACATGGTACCTGTAGTCCTAGCTTATTGAGGAGTCTCCCCACTGATATGCAAAGTGGTTTCACCAGTGTATACTCCCACCAGTAGTGCAGGAGGGCTCTTTTTTCCCCCCACATCCCAGCCAGCATCCATTATGGGTTGATTTTTTGATGATAGCCATTCTTTTTGGAGCGAAATGGAATCTCAGCATTGTTTTAATTTGCATCTCTCGAATGACCAGTGATGTTCAACATTTTTCATATATATATTTGCCATTTGTATTTCTTCATGTGAAAATTGTCTATTCATTTCAGATTTTTGGAGTGGGTTTTTAAACTTGAGGAATCTGGGTTTTGTTGTTGTTTTGGAGTTGTTTTTTTCTTTATATATTCTGGATGAACAGCTGGCAAAAAATTTTCCCACTCTGGGCTGTTTCTTCACTCTGTTGATAGTTTCTTTTGCTGTGCAAAAGCTTTTTAATAAGAGAGATTTCAGTTTTTGAGTCTGTGATATTTCCCAGGTGACTGGGCTTTTGTTCATAAAGCCTTTGCCTATGCCTGTGTTTTCAAGAGTTCTACCTATTGTATCTCCCAGCAGACTTAGTGTTTCCGTTTTAATATTTAGATCTTTGATTCATTTGGATTTTCGTTTAGCACATGGTGAGAGATGTAAGTCTACGTTTAATCTTCAGCATGTGGAAAGCCAGTTTTTACAGCATCATCTGTTACAAAGGCTATCCTTTCTAGTGTAGATGTTTGGCTCTTTGTCAAGACAAGACAAATGATTGTATTGAATTTTTTCTTCATCTTGTAAATCTGTTCCAATGAGCGTCAGGTCTGGTTTTTTGGGAATTTGTTTGTTTTGTTTGTTCATTTATTTTTACCAGTACCATATTGTTTTTATCACTGAAGCCTTCAAGTCAAGGGTTGTAGTTCCCCCTGCCTTGCCTTT